GTAGAAACCACAATTTTGTCCCTGCAAGGGGTTTCACCAGACACTCCCAAAATCTGTGGGCATGTCTCGTGGGCATACCAGACCCCACCGCTCCAGGATTCTAAACATGCTGAACAAAACCTCAATGACTAACAGCCACAGGCCAGGGAACATGGCTGTCAGAGGACAGACACTTCCATGTTTCCTTGGTATCTGACAAACCCTTTGACACATAAACAGTTCCCACGGGCACCCCAGTAAAGAGTCAATATGTCAACGGTTTGGCAAAGAGGCGGCAAAGGCCTTTCCTACATCACCTAAGTCCTTTCCCAGCGATCAGTTCAGGGATGAGGGGATGAACACAGTTCTAACTGGAATGAGAAAGAGCACAGCTTGGGGATATCCAAGGCCCGCGATGAAGTCATTCATTCATTCATTCATTCCTTCACTCATCAAATATTCACTGCATACCTAGCTAAGGGTCAGAACCTGTTTGGAGCAGTGGGATACAATGGAGAATCAAGAGACAAAAACGTCCCCCTCATGAAGCTGACACTTTATCTGGTAGAGAAATGAATATTAATATCAGATGCTGAGAAATGGGTGGGGGGAGAGGGAAATGAGGCTGCAAAGGGAGTTAGGGAGTACTGCAGGAGGGGCCAGGGAAGGCTTCTGACACAGCACCCTGAAGAAGGCAAGGGGGCATGGCGCCCGTTCAGAGAGGGAGGCACGGTGGCAAAGGAATGGCCTCGCCACCAGCTTACTGCTGCCTGATGGAGCTGCAGGAGGAGGGGCTGGGGCAGCTGGTCCCGAAAGCCCCCTCAGCTCTCAATGCACCCTCCACCCCCTGCTTCCTACCGGCCACCACAGCCGGACGGAACTGAAAACCTGCAGCTTGCAAAGCGCCGCCCTCCTCTTCACCTGCACGCAGGCGGTTCTTCTGATCCGCCCATCTTCACCCTACGGGCAGCCTTCCCCAGCTTCCGCCACCTGCCACTCCAGGCTGGCCTGGGTGCCATGACTCTAAGTTTCCGTAAGGACCTACACCTGCCCCTATCCCCACCCTGCACAGTGTACCAAGCTGCTGTCATCATCTACTTGCTCCCTGAGACTAGACTGAACTCCCCAAGGCCTGTGCCCATGACTTACCAATGTCTATGTCCCCACCCCTAGCGTGCCGCTGGGTCTATCAGTCACCCCCTAAACATGGGCTGATGTGCCGAGTGCTGAAGCCACGTTGAGCTCCTTGAGGGCTGGGGCCAGGTCTGATTCATGTTAGTAGCCCTGGGAGGTAGCAGAGGGCCTGAGACAACACAAGCAACACCAGGTAGGCCCACAGATTGGGTCCTGCGTGGGTGTTGGCATCTTATCCAGAAAGCCAAGTCAACCTCGACCCCTGACTGTGGAGGCACAGGGCTGGTCCAGATGTGGTTCTCTGGGGCTTTGGCCGGACTCAGGGTTAGAAAAGCATCACGTATGCTTATATATGCTGTGGGTTTTTCTTATTAGAATCTGCATTAATCACTAACATGCCTTAACCTTGTCTCAAAGCTTCCATGCCCAGAGATAATTTGGTGTTTGGGGCATGGTTTTTCCAAGCTAAACATTTTACAAATCAAAACCTAACGTGGAGAGTCCTTCAGAGCCATGGGAGGCTGCTTCGGAGGGCAGCTGCTGCCCACAGGCCTCGAGTAGGGGTGGCTGGTGCTTCCCATCCCCCCACCCCCCTTTGAATGCCAAAGTAACAAGGGCGTAGGTTTGTCCCTGAGGGCTTCCCATCTTTCCTTGTGGTGCTAGGGGGGGTAGTTCAAACTTCTTTCAAATAGAACCACAGAGATTGAGAAATAAGTAGATACTATCTAATTCCAATCTTTATGGAGAAAGCAGGGTCTAAAGATTAAATGTGGCAAAGGCCTTGCAAAAGAGACGTGACTATCTCCACTTGACAGAGGAGTACACTGAGGCACGAAAGCTAAGCAAACAACCCAGGTTCCAGAGCTAGTCAGGCGGTGGCGGAATCATCTGGGTCTGCCAGACCTTGAGGGAAAACACCATCCATGCTACACCCAACTGGTTCAAAGGTGACTTTCCCCAACGCCCCAGAGAAGCTGCGCTGGGGAAGGCCAGGGTCTCCTCTGCCCACCTCCACTTCCTGAAGCTCCACAGAGCAGCACTGGGGTGGGGGGCGGGGGGCTGCTCAGACGGCAGCATTTCCCACGGACCCTGACCCATAGTAACGGTGCTCTCGAAAGCTCTGCACACCGGACATTCAGAGGGTTGAGATTTCTGCGTAGCATCATGTAGAAACGCACCTGGCAAAGAGTACCGTCCTCCTTAGAATTTAGCCTCAGGGGTTGTTTCAGGGCAAGATAACCTTAGACCTAAAAATAAGAGCCCTGGGTTTATATGTTGTATATATGAGCATCCGTGAGTTGTGCACGTCACAATGTGTGTAGTGGTATGTGCATGGCTGCGTGCGTGTGTGTGCAGTAAGACACTAGGGCGATGGAGGACTAAGGAGGCTCTTCTCTTCCTCCTTCCCTCTTCCCTGCCTCCTTCCCCTCCTTCTTTCCAGAAACATAAAGGCACTATAATTTTTTGCCTTCCCCAAAGATGCAAACAAACATTCGGTCCGAATCCACCCTCACTCCTCACCCCTGCGGAGGAGGTTTCTGGCTATAATCATAGCTGGTGGGAGGTGGTCATGGGGAGTGGGGGCAGTGGGGGGCAGCTCCTCCATTAAAGTAGATCTGAAGAAAGGGCAGGTTGCTGAAATGGAAATTAGAGTCAGGAAATTATATTCTTTTTCTTTTTTTTTCTAAAAGATTTTATTTATTTGACACAGAGATAGAAAGAGAGCATAAGCAGTGGGGAGCAGCAGGCAGGGGGAAAGCAGGCTCCCCACTGAGCAAGGAGCTCAATGCGGGGCTTGATCCCAGGACACCAGGAACATGACCTGAGCCGGAGGCAGACACTTAACCAACTGGGCCAGATGAACACCTGGCAAACTTTTTTTCTTTAAGGTGATCCTGGCGGGGTTGTTTTTGTGTTCTGAAGAGCAGTACCATGAAAACAACAGACTGTGATCCTGCTGTCAACAAGAAAAGCCTTCAAATCCATTTTCTCCCTTTTATAGGAGATAGATATTTTATTACTAAAACTCTTAAGATTTGGGTTGATTGGTGGGTTTCTAGCTAAGAACGAGGTAATCAAAATGCATCTCATCAAGTTACTGAGAGAACCGAATGCCGTCTTGTGAGCTCGCCCCAGTGTCCAGCACACAGAAGGCACCAGAAACATGTCAGCACCTTTATCTTTTCAGTGGCTGTAGAGCACACAGTGCACAGGGTTGGTTTCAAAATCACCCAGCATTTTTCTCTTGGAAAAAAAAAGAAGGAATAGGAGAAAAATGAACACAGACCCACTCCTCCAAGCACCTTTGCAAACACTGAAATTACATTTGTAAAATTATTTCCAGACCGGAGTAAAGTACAAAAAAAAAGAAATAGGAAACGAAATATCTTCACTACATTAACTTTCTAAAAGAGAGCAAGAGCAAAACAACAACAACAAATGAAGAAGGGAGGGGAGCACAATTCGTGAATAAATAAGATCCACGTTTGAGGTTTTCCTAGGCTGGGGCCCACCTTTCAGCTCTGTATCCCAGGTAATGGGAAGCCCGAAAGCCTCCGGGCTTGGAAAGGATGGCGAAGGAAAACAAAACAAAACAAAACCTTTCTGCTAGTTCTTCCAAATCCTAATTATGTTTTGTAAGTAAGTCAAAATCAAAACACTCTTTCTGCAAACAGCTTATGCTTCCCTGAGCTACGTCTGACCTCTCAGTGCCTTCTTGCTCTTCCTCAAAGGGGCCGAAAGCAGGAAGTGCCTTGGCACAGGGACCTCATTCAAGGGGAGAGGAGAGGCAGGGGACCGCATGTAACTCACAAAGAGAAACAGACCAGCCGCTGTCTGGGCAGCAGCTGGAGACGAGCCCTCGGCCTGCACTGTCCCAGCGCCTCTAGGAAATCAGAGCAGACGTGGCCATGGGAAAGGCAACGGGGGGGGGGTGTCAGATCATGGCCCCACCACCAGCTGAGGGACCCCCCAACACACTGCTTAGCCTCCCTGGGGCTTGGTCTCTGGATCCCAGCAGCAGGGATACCCATGTCATGCCTCACTGTGTTATTATGAGATCACGTGTGCTCAGGGAGGCAGAATTTTACCGTCACACGTGAAATCCCTCCCCATCGTCAGATACTGATAAATTTTTTTTAAAGATTTTTTTAAATTTATTTTATTTGACAGAGATCACAGTAGACAGAGAGGCAGGCAGAGAGAGAGGAGGAAGCAGGCTCCCTGCCGAGCAGAGAGCACGATGCGGGGCTCTATCCCAGGACCCTGGGATCATGACCTGAGACGAAGGCAGAGGCTTTAACCCACTGAGCCACCCAGGCGCCCCCAGATACTGATAATTTTGAAAGCCTTTCTGTCTGCAAGGGATGGAGGAGGGTTGGCATGGCGAACACCACAAGGAATTTTATGACAGAGCTTGGATGTGAGCATCAGTGCTAGTGCCCGTGTGAATTCTGACCATTCACTTGAATTCTCTGAGCCTTACTTAATAATCCTTTCCCACAAAAGAGATAATACTACTTATAACCTAGAGTGCCTGGAAGGGTCAACTGAGTTAAAGGGATGTTCAGAAAACAGTTTTGTTACATTAAAATGTGATACACGTGTCTTCGTCACCTTTTAACTTCAAAATGGGTGCACAGTCCTTATCAAAGAGCCATGGTAAATATTAGTTTTATTTGAAAAATGGGAAACATCTAGAAAGTAAAACAACTTCTACTGACGCCATGGCAGAGCTCAAAACAGAACCTCACTTTTCTAGCTAACTTATCTTTCAAGGATTTCACAACGACAGCTCTCCCTAACTATCCCGAGGGCTCTCCGCTCCGGAGAGATGTGAGCTGGGGCAGGGCCCTGCACTGCACTGGAATCAGAAGGAAGGTACTTACCACCAAATACAGCATAGTGTACATGGAGAAGGAGGCGTGGCCAGAGAAGAAGGACTTCCTGCAAGAGCAAGAGAGGGGCATGAGGGGGCCATATTCACACCCTGACACATGTTTGCCTGTCTGTCTTCCCTCCCTAGACTGTGACCTTGACAGCAGCACTATCTTGTTTAGTTTTGTATCATTGGTAGTGCTTTGGACACATTGTCTAGAACCTAGCAGGCACCCACGGATGCGTGAGCAAGCGGATGGGTGGATGGATGGATGGACTTACCAGTGTTCTACCATAATTGCTTATTTATCAATATATCTAAAAAATTTGACCCTGAGTTCCTTAGGAATGGGGACTGTGCCTTATACACCCCTTGAAACTGAAGCCCAGCCCTGAACTTGGCACCTCGTGCAGTAAGCGCCTTAGTAAGTGTTCCCCAAACCGCCTGCATCCAATGTGTGCGCACCATGCCCATGGCAGGCAGCGACTCACCTGGCTTCCTGGACTTTGCTGTCGTCCCCTCTGCATTTGTAGTTTTGGATGTAGCCCTCGGAGCAGTTGATCTGGCTGAAATCGGGGTTGCAGACGCTCAAGAAGTGAGGACGCAGGCGGCCTATGGAGACTTTGGCAATGTCTGTGAAGGACTGGCTGATGGCACAGCCAAAGAGGAAGCAGCCCACCTGCTTATAGAGGGCCGCCACATAGGGATTCTGAATCGTTGACCGGGACTTCTCCTTCAGGTAGTAGATGCGGTAGAACTCCCCAGTGATGATCTGAAAGGAAACCAATAGGGGAGTTAGGCAGTATCGAGACCTGACATGAAAGTGGATGTTGTAAAGGATAGTTACCGATGGAAGAGAATGTTCTGTGTATAACTGCTGGCTATAACCTAGGAAGTCTCAATTTTCGGGACACCTGGGTGGCTCAGTCGGTTAAACAGCTGTCTTTGGCTCAGATCATGATCCCAGTGTCCTGGGATCGAGCCCCACATTGGGCTCCCTGCTCAGTAGGGAGTCTGCTTCTCCCTCTCCCTTTGCCCCTCCCCCCCTTGTGTGTACCCTCTCTTTCTCTCTTTCAAATAAATAAATAAAATCTTTTAAAAAATCTCAATTTTCTATTTGAGAAATACATGGACAGAAATATGCATGGGAAGAAACATAGGAGTGCTAACATGGTCATTTTTCCCTTTTTGAAAAAGTCCCACATGGCCCTATAGTATCTTTGTAAAAACAATAATATACAAATATATTTATACATATACAAATATAATATTAAATATATATAAATATTATATAACATAGTTATATGTATTTTTTTTTTTTACTAAACAAAGAGACAAAGACCCAAATATAGAAAAAAAAAATTAGATGAACAATCAAGGACATGGTTAAGCATGGCCAGGGCGTCCGAGGATCTGAGCCAATCTCAGGATACTGGGCTTCAGAGTCAGGGATCACCAGCCTTGTGTCAACACTGAGCCACAGTGGGAGTTTCTATAGGAAGGTGAATGCCCAAGACCATGTCTTGGGTTTGAGTCCCAGCTCTGCCACTGGCTTGGTGTTGCTCAGTCATGACAACCTCTCCAAGCTTCGGTTTCCTTCTCCATAAAAGGAGGCCGCATGCCCTTGCCGAGTCGTTGGCTTAAATCTGGTAACACGGATGGGAAATTACCTGGCTCACAGAAAGTGATTCTTTCATTTTCCTTTTTAGAAGAATGCTGTGATGAGAACACTGGCCTACAAACTAAGGAACTTTTAATACAATGACCTTCGGTGTTTGCAAATTTCCAAGTCTATGGGCATTGTCTTCCATCTCCTCAATTCTACAGGACAGCTAGTGAGTCTTGGCTTTCATACCCTTCCCCCATCACACCGTGTTTACTCCTAACACTTCAGGGAGACTTCTCACCCCTGGGAAAAGAAGAGCCACCAGTCACAGATGACCCAGTCTCCACCAGGGATTGCTCCCAGATGCTTTATTTCATGAAATCCTGACAATGGCCGTGAGACAGGTATGGCTGAAGCTCAGAGAAGGGAAGCCACAGCTTGACCCAGACTGCCTGGTGTGACATTAAGAACGGGGCTCCAGCTCATTCTCCGCAAGGCTAACGCCCGTGATGCCTACACAACAGAGAACCATCCCACTTTGGTCATGCCCAACCACACTGCCTGCTGCTCTTGTCTTAACTCCACAGCACAGCCCCGGCCACTTCCTGATCGCAACCACAGTCCAGGGACAGCAACACTCAACTCATCACACCTCACAAAGCTCCTTTTACAGCTTCTCGTGGGGCAGGGTGATGAGCCACGCTTGCTCTTTCAGGGAAGCCCAGTGTGTATTCACAACCGCAAGGGAAGTAATAGACAGACGTATCCGGCCACTCCTTTCCAAAGTCTCCCGTTATTGTTTCACAGCTGGGGAAGGGGTCAAGGCATGGGGTCTGATCCAAGTTCTCAGGGGCTCCCAAGTCTAGTGGGGGGTGGGAAGGATTGGCCAGATGGAAAGAAGATGCCAGCTGGGCCCAGGAGCCAACAGGTGTGGGAGCGAGAACAGCCACCAGCACTACTGTTTGTACAGCAAGTCTGGTTTATAAATACTTGATTATTTCTAAGTGCTACGCTTTGGTTCCCAGATCACACTGAGTGTGATTCAGAGGGAGATGGTCAAAGGCCAATCTAGCACACAGTACTGGCTTAGCCATTCTCTGGGAGAGCACCTGATCTCGCAGATGTGCTCAGACACTACTGGTTGCATGAATGAATAAAAGGAAGAAGGACCATAGTCTTCACAGTTGTTTTATTATAAAACTGGAAATATCCTCTAAATATTACTGAAAGGCCTTTGATAACATGCTGCAGAGATTAAAACCTGAGAAGCACAGCACGTCAGAAATGAAAGGGTCCATTATACATGGAAGAAACTGAGGTCCAAATTAACTAGCAAGGAAAGATTGGACCCAGGTGTTCTAGCTCCCCACCCAGCAATCTTTCCTACCGTTGCTGGTCTAATTCCCCTTTGAACCTGTTTATACTTTTACCCTGTGTAACCTTACAGGCTAACAAGTTCCAGATGTCCACTGCCACCATCATGCTCTTTCTTCTTTATTTATAAATCACGCTCGCATGACTTTGGACTCAAGGAGATGAACGCTCAACTAGGAGGCAGTGGCCAGGGTTCAAGTTCCGACTCACTGAGTGAACGTGAGATAAGCCAGTATCTACATTTGCAAAATAAGGGCGCTAGACTCCGTAATTTATCCCTTCATAATTGCAATGACATTTACTTTCAACTCTCCTGTGCTACCTCTACCACTAGCCTCCCAACCAAGCAAAGGCAATAAGCAACAGCACAGGAAAGTACTTCCTCAGAAACGATGCCATGGCCATGGGGCAGAACCAAGGCCCTATGCACAGTCCCTGCCCTTGAATGATTCCTGAGTTCCTTGATGTGTCACAGCTACAAATTAAGAAACTCTAAACTGATCTGGCTTGAGCCCGACTTCCTATTTGATGCTGAAAAAGAACATGTGGCTTTTCCCTGCCAATCAGCAACTCGTAGGTGAATTTACTGATTAATCTCAGGTGAGTCACCTCTGTGCTTCCGTCACTTCAGGGAGAAAGGGTTTGATTACAGCTCAAGGGCTACTTTCAGCTCTAACATCCCTTAGTTCTAAAACTTCAGTTTCAGTGCCAGGTGCTCGCACATGGCAAACCACCAGTTAAAATGCTTTCTCCTCTCACGGGAGGAGAAAGGGGTAAAGAAGCTGTTTCGTGGCATCTCAAATTCCTAATAACTAAGCTATTAATAGCAGTACCCTTGTACATTTCTTTCGAACTTTACAGTTTCATTTGATCTGTGACTCTGTGAAGAATTTACACCCACTGTACAGCTGAGGATGGTAAGGCTCTGAGGGACAGGCACTTAGCTGAAGGAGTTGAGGCTTCTTAGTGACAGAACAAAAGTGGAGCCCAGATATGCTGACCCTTAAGTTCAAAGACTTACAACAGACTATATGGATATAATGTTTTGTTACGGATCTTTCTCGGCTTATGATGGTGTTACGTCCTGATAAAACTCATCCTAAGTAGAAAATATCGTAACTCAAAGATGGACTGAATACACCGCCCGAACATCATAGCTTCGCCTAGCCAACCTTAAACATGCTCAGAACACTGACATTAGCCTACGGTTGGGCATAATCAATTACCACAATGCCTGTGTTGCAATTAAGTATAGAATAGCATATGTAATTTATTGGCTATTGCACTGAAAGTGAAAAAGAGAAGGGCAGCATGGGTACAGAAAGGCTGTTTACGCTTGTGATCGCAGGGCTTGGCTGCGAGCTGGGGCTCACTGCTGCTGCCCAGCCTCACAAGAAGGCACCCGTACCACAGATTCTTAGCCCATGGAAAAGAAAAAAATCAAGTACAGCTTCCACTGACTGTGCATTGCTTGTGCACCATTGTAAAGTCGTAATTCAAACCATCGTAAACTGGGCATCAGCTGTACTTCTATCATTATTAAAAACAATTTCCATTGCAGAACAGCAATGGCGTATTTTCAAGGACAGGAACGGGCTGAAGCCATTTAGCAGACACATGACTCCAGGACCACATGGCCTTCTGGGGCAGCTCTGACAGATCTTGCAGTTAATGAGCAACAAATTATGTATTTTCTCTATCCCCTTGTACAGAAGGGTCGGGGAGTCGGCAACACAGCCATAAATCATCATTATGAACCAGCCGGACTTGGCTTCTTGTAATCCTAACCCTTAAAAGACTATCGAATGAGATTTGGGCTGGGAGAGTCGGGCAAACACCTCACCTCTGCAGAAGAGGCAAAAGCTTAAATTGTTCTCTGACACATTACACACCTAATGTTGGAGTTCCAGATTGACTGCTTTCGGACCTTATTCATCCCTCACAGTGCTTTTATTCCTGGGTTATAAAATCAGCTCTTCCCCCCCCCATGAAGGCTAGGGCCCCACCCAGGACTCCAACCCCTGGAGCCCACATTTCTGCTTCAGTCAGCAAAGTTGTGATATGTAAATTTCACTGCCCAGAAGAATGCCTTCAATGTTGATCCCTTTCTGAAAGAGCAAGCAACAGATTCAGGGGGATGGCAAGCTGCCACGCAGCAGAGGAGAGTTCTTCCCTACCTGCCTTTTAAAGCACTTGGCACAGAATCTGGAAACTAATAAAGTGGGAAAGCACTGCAATTAAGCTAAGAGGGGACAGAAAGGGATCTTAACTTGCCTGACAACGGTAACAGTTTGTCCCCAGCTCCAAGAGCATGCCTCTCTGCCTATCCTCTCTGGTGTCAAAGAGCTTGATGGCCCACATGTTCACAAGTATCAAAGTGTTCCAGAGAGGAAATTTGGAGAACATTAACTTTTTGGAAAAGAGAGAGCATGCAGTAGTCAAAGAGGCACTGACTTTGGAGCCAGAAAATCCTTAGTCTGAAGCCCATTTCTTACCTTAGGCAAGTGCCTTCACCTCTCTGGGCTTAGGTTTCCTCATCGATAAAAGTAAGATAAAAATCATCCACCTGGTGGGATTGCCAAGGGATGCAAGCAGGTGATATGCCAAATGGCTGGCCCCCAGCAGAAGACCCCTCCAAAAGTTAATTTTTTTCTCTTTCCCTCAGAGAAGAGGAAATAAAAAATCAACACATACTTGTAGAAAATATCTTTTCTAAGCTCCTTCCAAAAGCTCCTTAGAAATGAACATTCCAAATCGAAGAGTTTGGAAGTACCACCCCTCCAGAGTAGAAC